CTGCTGCTTCTTGCAGGGCAAAAAGCGCTTGACTCTCCATCCTCATATCATGATGTTCCTGCATCGCGTCGAACACGGCAAGGAAAACACGAGCGGACCGGTCGCCAAACGAAGAATAGAACACCGTACCGGTCCGCTGAAATGAAACAAAAAAAAAGCGCACTGTATGCTACACAGATATATAGATATTTTTGTCATATATTTGCATAGAGGATTTACTCTTCAATCTACTTCTGGGCAGTTCAAGGAGGCCCTTACTTGGGAATAGACTCATGTGCTCAGCCATCAACATTTCTGCACCTCAACTAGGAAAGTGGCAAACCAGTTTCTTGTGACTTTGATTAGGGCCTGCTGACCCTCCATCGAAAAAAGAAGTGTTCGGAAACACTTCAATAAACAATACTGACCCTCCACTGAGCTTCTTTTCTTCAGACCTAAACACCGATCATTCGTCATTCGGAATCCGAATCGGATCTGCACGAAAACCGTCACCTCAAAGCGCGCGTGGGGATCGATTTCTTGGCGCTTCTGGTGCTGCAGCTCCAGCAGAATGCTCTTCACCAAACGTTGAAACGAGGCCTCCAATGCTCGCTTTTCCAAATGTCAACTTGCTTGTTGGGCCGTTTTACCTTGTTTGTACTTCTTAAATTTACAATCTGGGTGAGTCTCACAAGCCTTTGAATGAGTTTTGGGATGGCGAAGAAGGTCAGGAGACTCCATAGAAGTTATTGCTTCTCAGTTGTTTGACTTCGCCCAAGAGAGACGTTCGGGCGTTCGGGCGTTTCCTTTAATGTCTGCACTGAGTGTTTGGCTTGAAGGACCTGACTCAGACCTTCCTGACCTGATCTTCCCAACACTCGTCCCGCCCGAGCCTTGGGAATCAGGCACTCGGTCGAGTTCATGAGCTTCAAGATCCTCGAGACTTCCAACGCGTCGCGAGTCAACGCGTCGCGTCAGACGGAAGCTCCGCGAGTCAAAACGCCCGACCCTCCCAAACCCGACCCGAAAGGACTACCCCGGCCTGACGCGGCCCCTTCCGTCAACCGAACCAACGCAATGGCCATGGCCAAGGTGCTTCTTCGGCTTACAGGTTCCAAACAGCAACATCAGCAACTGGTCGGTCTTTCGGCTTCCGTGCCCCCCCCTCTCCCCGCCCTGTTTTTTCTTTGCTGCCACCGAAGGGGCTCAGCCATGCGGTCCCTTTGAAACGCCTGCGCATCGGTGGATCAAGGAGGAGGCGTCTCAAAATGTATGTGGAATTGGGCGTTCCGATCCTCTGGAAGAAAGGCACATAGATCATAGATCTATAGATACCCTAGAAGTCCAGTTCGACTTTTTGACCAACTTTAAAGGTTTCAGCATATTCCTAGACTCGGGTTTGATCATAAGCTTAAGGCTATTAGGTCGGAGGCCATTCCTACTAGAGTAGCTAAGAAGCTACGAACGTAGCTAAAACGAGCATTACGGGACTCCCCTCTCCACAAGCCCCCGCGCTCGGAGCGGAGCTTGCGCTCCACACCTTCTCTTGGAACCGCCCCAGGCTCGCCACCGCCGCGGGGCTCGTGCTGGCGAAGGGCCCGGGTGACGGGGTCATGCCCTGCGAGGGCGAGGCGAGCGCGCGCGCGGTGCCATGCGGAGGCCAATGAGGTGTTCGACGCATGTCGTTTGTCGTGGTAGATGCAAATGGATTCGGAACTTGGCGATTCTGGTAGATCAAGGGGGGGCTTACTTTGCCAAACACGCGTGCAATACAAGATTTCATGGGTGGTACACTCATCATCGAATGCAGTCTACAAGCTTTCTTGTGTCCGGGTCTGTTTGGTGGTTCTTTTGCGTTTTGGTTTGTGCGGGTGGAAAGGCTCAAGGCACTGGTCCTTTCGGAACCCCACCGTTTTCATGGGCGGTGCGACCAAGAAACGCTGAGACCTCCGGCGAAAATGAACATGGAGGTCACTCATTCATGTTTGAACATGCGCTTGGATATGCTTGGATACGCTTTCATTATATCATTGATACGTTCCGATGTGCAAACACAAACCGTTGTGTGCGATGCATCGGGGCCCCGACCTCGCCCCTCCACCCCCCTCAGAACGCGCCCACCGTCTGAACCGGTCCTTGCTGCGCTCCTCAGCCCTTTCTCGCTCCTTTCGACCGTGCTTTCCTTTCTCCTTGCCTTTTCCCGATCGTCTCTCCTTCTCCTTACGCTCCTGGCTTGGCTTTTTTTTGCTTGAGAAACAAGAGCCTCCACTACCAGTTGCCAGGAAAACCACCTCTTTTCAACCGTTCCGGTCCTTCCGGTCCTTCTTCTCCCTTCGCCGTTTAGGCTCCGCATCCTCGGGTCTGAGAACCGCAGCCTGGGCGAGCTCAGTGGTCCCACTTAAGAGGTGTGCCGGGCAGCTGCCCTTCTGATAGCAGTCATTTGAAGCTGCCTATATATGTGGCGATGCCCTGTAAACGGTTTAGATTATAGCTACTTCAAAACAAAGAAACATATCGGCCCCGCCCACAGCAGCCTCAGGATCACCGAAAGAATGATCCTCTTGGCGAAGTGATTCCTCCCCATACGGATGAAATAGGTATTTCTACCCTACCCTCTGGGGGAGTTGCTCGTCGCCCGGCGCATAAGATGGGACACTAACCGGCAACACCGCCAACACCGGAACCCTGGCAACACCGATGAAACTCGCTGCTATGCGTCCGAAAGAGGGACCTTAGGGAACCGGTCCTCTGATTCTCTTTGCACATCTTTGCACCAGTTAACTAATTCTTTTTCGTTCGTTCTTTTAGACCTTTCAACCTCTTAATTATATCGTTTTTTCCCTTCTTCCTTTGTCGATCGTTTATCTATGTTCCTTTTTTCTCCTTTAGAACTTCTTGCTTGTTCTTTTCTTCATGTCTTGAAGACCCTGAGATAAGCCCTTCCTTTCGTCCTTTCTTGGGACGTTTGGAGCTCTCCTTCTTCTGGCGCCGAATCTCAGGCGGATCCTCACGCTCCTCAGCCTCCACTTCCTCGCCGCTTCGGCTTGCAATTGGCCGCTAAGCCGTTTTGCATCGATTCTTCTTTGCTTTGGGAATCACATGTGCCGTTGACATGAATAACATGCCAGTTAACATGCCCCCGCTCCGCTCGACTCCCCCGCTCTCCTTCTTGCGTCGCCTTTTGGGAGCTTCTTCAGCCTTCCCTTCACTAGGCGCTTCTTCACGCAACTCAGCCTGAGAGGAACATCTGGTGCCCGGGCCACTTCGATTCAGAGAGTACTATGACTCCGAGCTTAAGTTGTCATCTGAGAAATCCTGGCCCAAACATCGGCGCTGTTGCCATCGGCTGATGTGTATGTGTATATATATATATATATATGCGGCTTCGCTTCGCTTCTGCAAAGAACTCTTCCGGAACAACTCGCCCTCACCGTTGGATCGCCATTTGACCCGGCCTTCTCTGGCTCCTCGCCCTGAGAGATTAGCCCGAGGCACGGCCGGGCGGCAGTTCACGTGTGTTTCGTCCGTTTCGCCAACCAACACGGCGAAGCTCAACGTAGAGAACTAACGCATCCAACAGAGGTTGAAGGACCCGAATTAGACTATCCCAGTTGGGTACCCCTATTTACGGTCACTTAACCTCTCTTGGATAGACCGAGGGAATCGGATTTCGACGTCTCTCTCTGAATCGCGGCCTCGCCCTCGTCGCCAGATGCCCGAGCCTCGCCAGATCAGGCGTTGGGGGGGGAGTCCCGGTGGTGGGGTGGGGAAGACGCAGTCACTTTCAAGTCAGCAATGAGTCAGTATGGACTGCAGCCAAGTCTACAAGTCTATTGATTGAGCAATCTGTATCGAAGCACATGAAGAACACCGGAATTCCCTTCGAACACAGCCTTCTTGCTGGACGAACTCGGGTCGCCCACGTCTTCCATCGTGTGGGCCTCGCCAAACACAGCAAGCTTCCCCATTAGGTTTCCAGTGTCTGACATCCCTGCCATTGGGTAGTAACAAGTGCATCGCTACTAGGAACAAGTGCCTTACTAGTAGTAACAATGTTTGCTAGTAGAAACAATTAGTTCCAGTGTCTGCATCCAAAAGTTGTTGAGAGCGGAAAACCCTCTTTCGGTTTCCATGAGCATTCTCGTCCGCAGCTCCGTTTGATTGAGCTTTCTCTCTCTCCCTCTCTCTCCGAACATCTCCACTTCTTTTTCCCACCTCTTCCTGCTCCACGGCGAAGGGATCCTTGGGCTTTTCGGCCATCTTCTTCTCGGCAGGCTTTCGGCCTCTTGCCATCTCTCATGTCAAGCAAAGTGGCGCACCGAGCGGCTCTGAGCCAAAGACTTCTGCACAACATGGAACGATCGAAACACAAAACATGAAGACATCATGAAGAAGTGGCAACACTTTGTAAACACTGAATGTACCATCATGTGGGAATGGTTCCACCTGGGCTGATTGACATTTTATGATTCAGCTTGGTTTAGAGCGGGCAATCGCATGCAACTCAGTCAGTTGCTGCCTGCAACCCCTGAAGACAACAATCTTGCCGGATGACCGTACCTTCTTCTTCATTGCTCCTTCTAATAGAAAACACCATGTTCTTTCCAAAGGGCATGTCACATGTCTACAAGTATGAGTTTCCCCAAACACAAGCAGTGGTGAAAATCATTCATGTGACCCTCATCCAACGAGCTGACGCCTCTTCCACCCAAAAGCCAGGCGTCAAGGTGCCTTGCTCGCGACCTCCGAGATTTCCTGGCGCCAAAACATCAAGGCTCGCTGCACCCAGAAAGCCTTACCCAGAATTGCTACGCCTGGCGCTCGTTCCCTTCTTTTACATGTAAGCAGCTTTCAGACTGTTTTGTCCTCGTCTTGACTTCGTTCTCCGAATTCCAACTCCCCATGACCAAATGCTCTCTCGCTCAGATTGTCTATGCAAGGTTTGGCTCCTCCACATGTGTAGGGATCCAACTGACTTTCTTGATGTCAATCTCGAAATCGACCATGACAGGTCAAGGAGCTGGAAGTGTAACGACTGATTCATGTCATCACGCAACGGTAAGAGCTCATTTGGCGTCGGTTGTTCGCGAGACAGGCTGATCAAAATGCGTGTTTCTCTGCCCACTTGTCACCAACATTGTTACATTCGTTTGCAAGAAATCTTGGAACTCTGCGACTGGCTGCGACTGGCTGACATGTGACTGGCTGTCTCTCAGATTCGTTGCCAACGAATGGCGGGCCATGGCTGTGATCCTCAAACGTTCGAAGCAAACCGGTCCAGCTCAATGGCTCCGTGTCCGACAGGTCCGACATGGCACGTCCCAACAGCTGGGACCTGGATCTTCCAATTATGTAACATGACATGGCCTTTTCATCTATAAACCAGCCAACAGACAAACATATGGCATAGTTGGAAGATCCAGGGAAGACCGCCTAACTTTACCTTTTTCTGGCCGCCTGACATCTTTTGGGCTGCTTCCACCAGATTCTGCCGAAAGTCTTGGGTCAATGGAAAGTACGATCAAAAACATCAACAACCATGAGGCTCCACCGTTCCACCAAAAAGACCTAGCATTTGAGTAGGAGATGAGTATACAGCTTATTATTTCCATGGGCTCATGCCTCCGAATGTCCATGCGTGTCTTGCTAGCCGCATGTCATTTTGTTATCCTCACAGCAATCGTCGTGTCTTCATCTTTCCCCCTTCGCCTTCGAAGCCTCCGAAGTCCCAAAACCACCCACTCCACTCTCCTCTCTCCGCGCCGTTTTCGGGTTTCGTTCACCTTCAAGGCTTCCGTCGTTCCTTTTTTCTCCTCGACGGGGCCCAGCTTGGCCAAGAGAGCTTCTGCTTTGGCCTCGACGTGGATTCGGCGCGACATCCACACGTCAGGGACGCCCATCCACCTTCATGTCGTTGGAGGGGTCGTGGAAAATGGCGAAAACAGTGAACGCTGAAGAATCCAGTATACCATGTGTTCGGGAAGGAGTGTACTTGATGGAAAGTTCGATCTGTGAAATTGATTCATTTCCTTCCACCGTGACCCACGCGGTTGTAGCGCCCGAGCCGGGCGTCATCGCCTGTCCGAAGGGCCAGCGCTCAGCTGCCTTCGGCGTTTGGAGCACCTCGGTGCTCGAAAGAAGGGAGGCTTCGCGGGAGGCTTCGCGAAGTCAGCGAACAACAGGAAAAAACCACCTTTCTCCGGCGTTTTCCGGTGTTTTCCGGGTACCTTTTTCGATACTTTTTCATGGTACGACTGTTGCTGCTCTTTGTATCGGTCAATGTTTTGTTGCAAGTCAACGAAGTGGTATAACACGTGTGAAGCCCCCAAAAGGGGGACCACCTCAACCTCGTTGAAATCTTGGCACCAACATGCATCGGATACTGGGTGACCCGGCGTAGATCCGGGTGCCATGTGGGACATCGTAATAGCGCCTGGAGCAGCGCAAGATCGGTTGTGCGGCAGGACGCTCTTCAGTGGATGATTTCTCAGTACCTAACGTCTCCACCCCCAGAGCCCCTTTCCCCAACCGGATTTGTAAATCATGTCGGATTTGCGAACTCGATTCACTCGAAGGGGATCCACCCTTCTAGGGAGAAGGGCACATGTCCCTTGAAGTCAGACGAAGAAAGAACGTGAAGACGATGGGTTCGCTGAGAATCTATGAGGTCGCGAACAACCGGACCACACGAAGAGGATCGGACCGGGACATTCCACCAATTGGGTTCAACCTGTGAAGGGGTTTCGTTCATCTAAGTCAATTCTGCATAGCATTCTTGAAGGTGTGAAGGAAGACCCCCTGTTGTTTATATGTTTCTTTATTCTCATGGGCCATTCTTCGCCCCTTTGAGTGATTCGGACGGTCGCATGCTTATCACCAGGGATCTGCGCCACCCTCGGCACCTAGAAGCATCCGCGCCCGAATCGTGAAAGAATTGCACCTCACCGGCGAGACCCGGGATCGGATCTGGCGAAGCCGTTGGATGTGCGTCCCACATTTGGATCTGAGGCGGGTGAACACCTGAAGGCTGTTCGAAAATGAGCTCACCAGTCTTCACATGCATATCTATAGAAAGCATGCTTTTGGGGGTCGTCGTGTAAAACGAGCATTCTGATCCGCGCTGTGCAGGGCGTGTCTGCTCGTCTGCTTGGTCCCTCTTGAATGCTTCTAAGGGGGGCAAGATGTGCCGGTACCCTCCAACTCACTAACAGTCTCACTAACATAGTTAGTGTGGATGGCATGGACCCGAAAGGAAGACGATTTTCCTTTACAACTGGCCGTGGTGTTCACTTCGTGATGTGTTGTCGGAGGGTAGAATGTCCGAGCAGCGAGCCGAACACTCCACGTCCGAGAGCCGAACAGCGCCACAGATCCCAATCCGAGCAGCTCCTGAAATGTAGTGATGCTCACCTTGGGTGTCAAAGCATTACATAGCGCCAGCCATGCCCTATAACCTATAGCCCTATTAAGTACTCTCCATGCGTTGTAAGATAAAAGCTCCATTAAGACTTCGTCGTCCGGTGCAGTTCTCAGGATCCAGCGACCCCTCGCCAGCAAATAGGCTTGCTTTTTGCACAGCCTCGGTGCGATCGCGCCGCGCAGTCCACACACGCACGGCCTTCGGTCAGCGCTGGCGCTCGGTACTTCACTTGACTTCAAGGAGCTCTCCAAACATGGCGGCACCTCTTGGGCACTGTGCTCTCCATTTTGGATGATGCTCGTGGCACTGTGAACGACGAAAAACCAAAGCAACATGTCACACATTGAAACAAACGTCCTCTCCGTGAGAAGAACACATTCTCAGTGACCTTTTCGCACTCAAAAACACACGACACACACGGCCGACGGCACGAGGAGTCACCGAGGCCCAGGAACTCTGGTCGAAATGGTTGGAAGTCTTCGCCGCTCACGAGGCCCAACCTTGGGCGAAGGCGAAGCTGCCAAGGTGGTGTGAAAAGCTTAAGGAAATATGTTGGGCATACGGACTGGGCATCTCTTGAACACAGGTTTCGATCGTCACTTTTGTGAGCAGTTGTCTTCATCCACACCTAATCTCGCTGATGTAGGCAAGAACAAAGACATGTCGTCACGCAAGAAAGAGTGTGTGGGCGAGCGGCGCAGTGAGAGGATCACCATGGATGAGGTCAGTCAGGGGCCCCCCCCATTTGCTCAACGTGTGATCCCTTCGGCCCCAACGTGTGTTTCAGATTTTGCGGGATTTTGTCAACCAAACGCACAGAGAAAGACACAAAAACTTGAGAGAGGAGGGGGTGAACGAAAGGTAGCAGGCAATCACAAGTAACCCTGGTAGAAGTCCACGACGGCGTGAACCGGCGCAGGGGGGATTTGATCCCCCCCCCCCGACGAACAGAATCAACTCTTACAGGACCAAATTCAATGCACAATCCCAGCTCCTGATTGTAATACATTTTTGCTAAAGCAAGGAGAACTCAGGTAGCTCAAGCTACCTTTCGTGACAAAACAACCGCTCCATCTGAACATAAAGGAGACCAACAAGACCGATTTCTCTCAATTTATCACTGCAGCTGCGCAAAGGTGGCCCATTTCTTAATGCATCGCATTCTCAGGTCCCAGCGCAGTGCATTCATCACCCCAATCAGGCACAAAGACCACCTGGTCTCCACCCAAATGCTTTCTGTTCTCACGCAACTCACATAGGGATGAATAGGACAGCTTGCAAGTGTCTTTTCCATCTAGCTCCACTAAAACTATGTCCACTTGTTCCCTAGACACAGAAACCCCGCGCGTTTTCGGACTGCTGGATGACTGGATGACACAACTTTGACGTTGACGTTGACTTACGCCAGTGACTGGAGCAATCGTTTGGAAAGAAACAAAGGTTTCCAACACCTCCCCCAAGTAGTCACCTGGTCACAACAACGCTTCCCTTTTGCTTCAGATTTTAGACTTCGTTTTTGATGTTAGTACTCCACGACTGAAGTTCACTGAGCTCCCAAACAAAACTCAAGACTTGTTTCTTTTCCGCGGAGCTTCTCAGGTGCTTCAGCAACTTCCGCGCCTCACACTGCGCAAAACGAGCACACAGAAAAAACAACAAACGGAGCAACAAACATGAGATGGACACCCTCCAACGGCCCACCCCCCCGAAACGTGGTTCCCAAAACGGACACTTGAAACAGCTCTGAGCCCGCTTGCCATGAGCTCCATGACCTGGGCGAAGCCGGACCCACCAACGACAGAACATGCAACTCCAGGGAAACTATAAGAATTGGCCACCTACTGGTAGCTGCATGGAGTAGGTGGCCCCAAACAACTATACCAACAGAACATGGTAGCTGTTTGGGGCCACCTACTGGAGCACCTCACGTCGGGCATCCGCCACACACCGACGCCGCGACGCAGCGGCGCAGCACGAGACCGGCCTCTTCGGTGTAGGGAGGTCCCACTTCGTAGGAGCCCTCCGGCAAGTCATCCAGGTCGAAGAAAGAACCTGCCAGGTTAGCAAACTCGGTGTCAATGGATCCTAATCAAAATGCGCCACCTCCTGCGAGCTCAAAACTCGGTGTCAATGGATCCTAATCAAAATGCGCCACCTCCTGCGAGCTCAATGAAACTCGGTGTCAATGGATCCTAATCAAAATGCGCCACCTCCTGCGAGCTCAATGAAACTCGGTGTCAATGGATCCTAATCAACCATTCATTTTCTTAGTCATTCTTCTTCCTTTGATTAGACCTCTTTCCATTTCATTCCTGTCGATGTCGTGGTGTTTTTTCGATCCGACCGGTCCGTGCCTTGTCGTCACGGAGGACGTGCGAGCATGCGAGCGTACACGTCGGTGCGATAGACGCGACGTCCGACAGGATGGTGACTCATATCCCGCAAAACAGCCTTCATTCACATTTCATTCACTTGTTCATACTTGTTCAATGGCTTGGTCTCAATATAAAGGTCTTTGGCATTGCCAAGCCATGAGCCCATGAGCCAGAAGTTGGAAGGAAGAGTCTCTCGTCCCTCTCTCATCCGCTGCTTCCACTTGTGGCTTCGGTGTCATCGCACCTTGTGACCCAAAGAAGGCATCCACCTGATGGTTCGGGCTGAGCGGTTCCAACGGCTCGGCCCACGAGCAAAAGGAGAAGGTCATGAGGTTCCGGTGGAAAAATGATGACAAACAAGTGACAAGTGCTTGATTCTCGAGGCCCTGGTTTGACAACGTCTTCTTTGCTGCTTCTGGTGTCAAACACATGCATCGGATAAGGTAATTATACCGTGTATACCGTATACCTGTACTTCAGACCTACATGCCCAGACTTGTCTTTCGCCCCTCAATGGCCCCAAATTATGTGCAGGCGAAAGAGGAGTGATTGCCAGGTTGAGGAACCCGTTGGGGCTAACAGGTATGTGGTCGACGTGCTGGCTAAGGAGTCCGCCACCTAATTGATCAGCTGGTGTTCGGGAGGGGTTAAAGTCTTTATCCCGGTGGCTGGTGGCAACAAAGTTTTGCAGCGATGCTGAGGGGTGCTTCCTTTTTGCGCAAAAAAAACCTATGGCTGGCATGTTCGCACCACTTGAAGAGAAGCAGTTGGTGGTGAGTAGGTTTCATGGCGTCTACAAGCAGATTCTGAGATCCCACAGCCAGACAGCCTGTGGCACCCCGTGAGCACGTTCACCAGCTGCTACACCACTTTCAGATCTTTCAGCCACCGCGGTGAGCTTGTTACAGCCCCCCCCCTCCACGAACTCGTTCACCAACAACCGTTGACCCGACCGTTGACCAACGACATGCCGTGGGCCCCTTTCGTTGCGCAGCGCTCTGCTCTTATCCTCTTTCCACAGTTCTCTAGACATAGAGGTTATAGTGATGTCCTTATAGACCTATAGAGCGTTCAAAAGACAGTTCATGTGGTCCAACTACGTCACAGGAAAGAGAATGATTGGGGCTCCCGGACATCTGGGAAGGCGGAGTAGTACTCTGCGAAGAAACAGTTCCTCCACGCTCCGGCGGGGCCCAACGAAAGGGTACGAGACATGGTTTTTCCAACGAAAGGATGTAGGTTTCGCGGTACCTATAGGATAGGTACCTATAGGATAGGTCACTAGGTCGGAAGAAGTGTCTTTGTGTGCTTTCCTCTTTTTCTTCGGACAATCCTTCTTTCCCTCTTCAAAAAGAGGTGCAAAGTCACGACTGAGTCACTATAGAGCTATACCAAAGCGTCCCTGGCATGAGTTCGGCCGCACGTGCCGCACGCGCATCGCTGAGCGTCCACACAATGGAGAAGCAAACAGCTCCGCGGAGACGCCCATCTCATCGCGAAGCCATGCGAAGACCTGAGAGAAGCCATTAGTCCAAAGTGGAGTGTGTCTGTGGGTGTGTCTGTGTGTTTGTGTGCGTTTCTTCCTTCTTGCAAGTCTTACTCCTCAAACCAACTTGTTAGTATATTTTGGCCTATCCTATAAGCAGTAACAGTGGATGATGGTTACTAAAGGCCTTGTTCAAAAATAGCGATCATTGTTTACTGACTGTTACAGGCAATAGGACTGACAGACCCAAGTTACTACCCGATGCTTAGTCTTTGTCTTGCTTCTTTCAAGGTTCAAGCACATCAAGGTGTCGGGAATGGTCCTTCCAAATGCGCATCACAAACACCAAAGAGGACATTCGATGAACATAGGCAAATGAGGTGCATTTCAGTCAGCACCAGCAAGTCTGGGAAAGACTTTGAAGCTTTTTGGTCCCTGAATAGCCTTACTAGCGCCCATTGGACGACGTGCACGTCCTCACGGCATCGCTTCGCTTGCTTCTCTCCGCTTCGGAATTGCCTAAGGACCCAGCGCATTCGGGCGCAGCGGCATGCATGTTGCCACCTGAAAAGCCCCGAGCTCCGTCCCAGCGAAGTGAGTGTTCTTACGCCCGCCCGCCGACCGTTTTGGGGTCGGATTTGGACCGGTGAAGCTTTTGATTTGTCAGGAAATGAACGGTCTCAAGAGAAAAGGTCTAAAGACATGAAAGGAACAAAAAAGCCGGAGAAAAACATCAGAGACAGGTCAAACAGATCTGGGTCTCGTTCACTTGCTTCGTTCCGGCCTTGACTGCCCTCTTCGGCCGGATCCAGGCCAATAAAGGTCACCTGAGGCAGCGATCGAACCAGCCGATCGGAGCTGGACAACTCGAAGGTCTTCCTTCAAAGGACACTAGGAAGGATCGAAGCTACTACCCAGACACTCCAAACAGCCCGTCCGGTCCCTGAAAACCGGATTTGAGACCCCAAACCCCTCTAAAGGATTCGGGTCCGACCCCTCCATATGAGGGCCCATGAGCGTCTGGGTAGTAGCTCACTCCCTGAAACCCCAAACAAAAGAAGTCATCATGCAATTTGTTCACCACTAATGCATTGACTCTAGGCCTTCCTGCATATCGCCGCAGCATGCAATACCTCAGCACGGAATGCCGCAATCCCTCCACGTCTGGACAAACCCATTTGGTTCCACGACCAGCTCGTGGAAAGCATCTAACACTGAGTTTGTAGAGTCATTGACTATATATATTACAGTACGTACTGACTGGCACCAAACCAACATCCCGAAACGTCCATCTATCGCAGCAGACTGAACCCATGCCCCCAAAAAGTTAAGGCAAACTAAGGCCTGGACAAGCGGCGCCTAGGCACATGACATGGTGCGAGGTCACAGGAATATTGACATCACACATGTCGAAGGTGGACCCCAGTCGATTTATCTGAAACCATCCAATTGGTCTTCCCAGGAAATCCTCAGAAGCCCCACCGGCCCAAGAACAAATTCCACAAGCTGATCCGGTCTAACAGATGTCTAAGGTGAGCCAAACTGTAAGTCATGCGACAATGTGGTTCGCAGTGTCCCACACTTTTATGCATTTTTAAATGCCCATTTTGATGGTACCATGGTTGCATGCTCATACTGTATTCGCATGCAACCTATCTGGTATATTGGCTGGGTGTGGTGGCAAAATGTAACAATCACCTGGCGTTTGCGCCATTCTGGTCCTTCAGGCCTTGTTGTCGTTAATGCCCTCCCTCCACACATGCGCTCCGCTTTGGACCCACAAAACGCCGCTGAGACTCCTGAAGGCAGCTTTCCAGTCCTGGCCGGGCAGGCAAAGGACGCATGTCATGTGCAACGCCCACACCCGACGTCACCGACCAAGGACGGGTTGGAACGCCTCGCCTGCCGTTCGGAAAACGGGTCACCGTGGAAGTGCCGTGGTTCGATTGGTTGCCGTGGAGGTCGTGCGGTGGTCTGGTCGTTGGTCTGCCATGTCAATTTGTTTAGGCTTCGCTGGTTGCTCCTTTACCGGTTCTTGGCATGTGTGCATGTGTGCAAACGAATCACGATGTATCACGCTTCTCCTATGCATCCTCTGCCCAATGTGTTTGTTTACAAACAACCCGACGGCCGCAAAAAGTATATGGTTTGGCGAGTTCTTCCAAAAAAAGAAACAAATGGGCTCAACGTCTTCTGTCTACCAACATCCACAAAGACTCAGCCAGGGGACTGTGTGCCAACGTGAAAGTAGAAAACAGAAAAGCAACATCCCAGTTCTCAACATGGAGAAGCCTCGGAATCACCAGGCCCTTGATGAACCTGCGGCTGGGCGAAAATGACTTCGTGCAGAAGTCATAGACTCACAGACCAGCATGTTACAAGGCTCACTTGATCCAAATCCACATCCACAAATCATCAAAAACAAAAAAGAACACAGAGAAGGAAAAACGGGCTTTTAAAGGCCAACATATTAAATTAAACAACAGCAAAACAAAGCAACACATCATGAATCTGTTCCTGAAGTGATGCGTTTTTCTTACTACATCGCCTCGTAAAGTTGGTGGAGCTTCTGCATATGCATCGCAGAAATCTTCATTTCCTCCTGAGGCCCAAACAAAACCAAATGAAAAAAGAACAAACACATGAAATCACCTGACTCATGACAACAAATAGTTTAGTCTGTTTAAATGCACTGTTTCATTGTGTTGTTCATCTTTCTTGACTCCCATGATGGGGCTTGTCTACTGGCTCGTCTATCTTTGGCACTCACTTGCCGACGGAGCACCCAAGTGTCTGCTAGCACTGCCAGGCAAAACGGAAACACGGAACGCTTTGGGCGGTGGTTTCTTCTTGTGCGACCGGTGCGTCTTTGGAGACTTTATCCTTTTTGGTCAGGCGCACAATGAATGGAAGAACCCGTCGTTGTTACCAATCTGAACTCTTTTTCGTGCACTCCTAGGTGGTTCGCTCCGAGGTTCCGTCGGCTGAAGGTGTTCTCTACATCGACTCCCAATGGGGATCATACACTGAGATCTAATAACTGATCATCGTTCAAGATCTTCTAAATGAGCAAGAATAAAAGGCCCTTGACAAGGGATCAAGACCCTTGAATTTGGTGGCTAACATCCCCAGAAATCTTCAAGGGCCTCAAACGACATTCCAAGAAGCGTCTTTGATCCTCACGCTCAGAAAATTGAGCAAATGCAGCTGGCCCACTGCCCCACAGACTTTTGCGTCTTGCGCCGTCCTCACGGAAGATGATCTTTGGCGCAGCACCTGCATGGCTTTCACCAGTCATCACGGGTCACGATTTCCAACACATCTATCAACATTCTGAAGCATCGCCATGTGAACAACTCGTGGAAGCCGGTATTGTATGTCATTGCATCTCATTGCTGCCCAGGCCTTCCATGTCCAAATGCACCGGATACACATCTGATGCCTCGACAAACCGCGATGCGCCGCCCACGGAAACTTGGTCCTTTGCTTCTTTCGTACTCACTTATTTTTCTATTTTCTTGTCTTTACACTATGAGAACTTAAGATGCTTCTTGTAATTAGACCATTGAGACCTTCAGATTCATCGCATAAATATCTCTCCATCGCCCTCTCTGGTCTTTTGATCTTCTCTATATTGTCCGTTGGACAGGTCACCGGTGGCAAGACGAAGCACAGCCTTGAACTCGCAAAGCTGCACGACCATCGACTCCGCCTGTGGGATAGCTCAATGACACCGTGTCAATGGCTGAAATGACACGGTCGCAATCCTTGTCGAAATGATCAATGTCACCAAAAGGACGGCTGTGCTCCGGGCGGAGAGCCCTAGGAGAACATGACATCAACAAAGATTCCTTTCTCACCTGTTTTGTACACTACAAGCCTTCTTGAGTTTCGTACAAAATCACCGGCGGGGCCTCATCGGAGACCCTTTTCAAGATCTCCACCGCCATGTCTTGAGCCTCGTTTTGCACAACAAAACCATGCGTACCACGCCTCGTGCGGAACACACCGTGGGTGCGCCCGAGAACTCTCTCATGACACGGTGGTTGAACAACTTGCAAAACGCTTTCCCCCGGCCCAGCACCATGTAGTTCGTCCCTTCTCATATTGTTTCATCCACTTCCGACTTCTTCTCATAATGTCTGGGTTGCTGGCACGAACCCACCTGGAACTTCCCTCCAACAGCGTCAAACCGAACCCGCAACTGGCGCAACGGCAGCCGTGGGAGGACCTCGGCCACCCCGACCGCCACGCGGAAACGCACGGAGAGGCCCATGTGCTCCTGGGCCACCAGCCTCGGAGAGCGGGGGTCGCACGCCACGAGGTTCAACCGTTCATCCAAAAGGACAACCCCTTTGGAATGGAAAAAGCAGCTCGGCTGGCATTGGGCTGGGTTTGTGGCCCATCATGTGGCACCATGTGGCACCCCGACGCATGCATCGCAGGTGTTTGACCTAATTTTTGCAGACCTCGCGATGACCCGAACGTTGGCATCGCGAAGACGTTGGGATTCAGAAGCTTCGCAGCTGGGCGTCTTCTGAGAAAGCCTGGAGTTCTGTTTTCTTTACGCAATGGTCACGAGATTGATAGGACATTGCCCTAGGCGGAGCTCCAGTGCCCACTGTGCGGAAAGATCTTGGAGAAAGAATGCTTCGTCCATGTTTGTGCTTGACATAGGAAAAATACACATTCATCGCTTTTTGTGCACATGGATTTCCACAAGAAAAGGTCGTCTAGCCCGCGTAAAGTGTTACAGTATGTTACAGTACTTCAATCTGGTCAACTTCAATGTGAATTGCCTGCTCAGCAAATTGATGCACATTGCAACATGTTTTAGGCATTTGCAACCCCAAAGGCCCCAAAGGACAATACTCAGAAAGACAAGCGCACCGTCCCTCAAACCTAACAAAGTACCCTCCCTGAAACAATCATGGAAGTGGAAAACTACCAGTTTGTAGAGGAAAACAGTCTTCCAAGAGGCCATGTTCCACTAGTGGACTAGGCCCAGGACGGGCATTCAGCATGTGCGATTGAATTCTTGCTCTTTATATATCTGTTCTTGTCTTCTTAGACACTCCAACTCTAGACTCTAGACTCTAGACCTTCAGGATTCTTTGTGCCGTTCCTTTCTTTTGAGATCTGGTGAGGTGACAATACCTCACAGGGCGCCCCCAGGCCACCAATGGGCCCCCCCAGCTCATCCAGCTTCCTCCGAAATGGGCAATCGGCCGACGACCTCGGAGAATTCATCAGATGAATTCGTACGTCTCGCATAATATTTCAAACGATATGTGCTTCAAAAAGACCTTTTTGTACCTTGTCAACTCCTTTTCCTTCTTTTTCACACTAGACCTTTCTGATCCTTTCAGAATTTCAGTCCTTCGTGTTTTTTTCATGATCACCACCGGGCAATGTTCATTTCGAGCGCGGGCGACACCGACCGTTGAAGCCTGGCTCCGTCTCTGAGTCTCACGCTTCCGACCGACTTTCCACTCGTCGCCCTCGGCAGCGGCGGCACGGATGGGAAAGACGCGGATGTCGGTGTTTAAAGCCAGACACGAAACAACACCCGCATCCTCCTACTGGCCGAGTATCCGCGAGTAACTATGCAAAACAGTACTGCAACTTCCAGAAACACATGATATTTTACAGGGAATGACACTTTTAGGGTTTTCTTGTGTTTAAAATGTATGTGTAAGCTAAGTGTAAGTATATATGTTTGTTTCATGAAATGGTGACCGAACAAAAGTTCGAGCGACACATGACCTTCGTAAAACGCCTCGCAATTGCGCTCAAACAGCAAACAACATCAGTTTTTGGGTAGAACAGATCTTTGAAACGACACGGGCACTTCTTCTTCGAAACTACAAGACAAAGAACGGTCGTTTCACCCAAAGACACTTTATGATGCTTTTCAAAACAAACCGGTGGACCCAGGGTATAGTAATACCCTGGAAGTCCAAAGACTATACTATCCCTGAGTGAAGTAAAGGCAATCCCCTTTCAGATCCCATAAAGACAATTCTTTGTATAGTCTTAGGACTCTCAGGGAATAGATCAAGTTAAGCACACGAGACGTTTTCAAGATCCGACTCTCACGGTGTCAACGGTCACACGGTCCCAGCGGGGGGCGACCGGACAAGGCCTTTGGGGGTTCGGTCTGTGCGAAACATGTCAAAGCGATCAACAAAGAAAAGAGGTACACTATAGCCTATAGCGTGGCAATTCTTTTTTCAGTCACACACTACGCCAGCTAAGTTCGCGGCATGCTCCTTGAGCCAGGCATCAAGAGCTTCAACCTTGTTGGCAGGGAAACAGGATGGGAGCCATCTTCATAATTTCGGCCTTGCTTGGGCTCACCATGGCTGACCAATCTGGAAGAAAAACTTGGGTACACAAAAGATTGACAAGGGACACTTTGAGACACACACACACAAAGTGGGCATATCCTAATACCTGATACTACCAGCAAAATGATGTTTTAGTGATCATTCTTTACCTACTGTTACAGGTTTACTGTGACACACCCAACACACACACACACACCCCTTGTTCAAGACTGGTGGTGCCGCATACCTTGACCTCTAAAACCGACCTCATGGCCCCGCATCGATCCAAAGGCCACGAACCATCCGGTAAAAAGATGAAAACTCGGAAATGGACCCTGCAGTGAACTGTTCTTTTGCACGACGCCCTGTTCAACCTGAAAGCTGCAATCTCTCATGATCTCCTTTCAGCATCTCTCGCTGCGCCACCCGTCGCCGAGAAGGAAAAACCAACTACAAAACAACAAAAACAAACGACGACACACGCGTCACGCGTCGCGTGCGCAAAAAGGACAAGGTCGGTCCTCTTCGCTGATGAGCTGGGATGGCTCCTGGCTTAGACTTGGTGCCAGGCCACGCGACCGGGTTTTCAGCCCCTGCACATCTCGAGCCGTTCTTCGGAACGGAGCCTCCGTGGCTTGGAGAAGATCACGCACTCCTGACCCATTCAGTTTCCCATGGAGAGGTAGAAGGTTCACCCATAAGCCTCTAAGGCTTCAAACCCTTTTTCTCCCACCTTCTTTCTTGAGTGAGGAAAACCAATGAGAAAACATGAGAAAACCACGGTCCCCATCCATCATCTCCCCCCCAAACAGGGTCGGTCGACCTTCGTTTGGAAGCTGATCTCCGCCCTTCCGGCCGAGACGACGACGACCACGTCCCCGAACGCTCCACGCGCGCAGCGCAGCGAGAGCGAGCCGTTTTGGGCGCTTCGCCGTCACGGCGTCACCGCTGGAGCCGGCGCCAGAGCTGGTCCAGTCCCAGAAGTGTGAGGGTGGCCAGGCTGGCCAGGCACCAACCTCGCCACCAGATTCAGGGTGTTTCATGTCCACCCCACGGATTAACGGATCAAGAATGGATCACCTGCTCAAAGATGCTCAGCATCAGTTTGGTGCCACTGTTTGATGTCTTTTTGGAGTCTCAAAATGTCTTCAGGGAGTTCATGGCCGCCCCAGGTTTTTCCAAAGCCTGCCATGCGCCATTCCACATGGTTTCCACAACACCTGAGGACCCCGGCAGCTTGTGGAGGACAAGCGCCGGGGTTCCCAAAGCAACTTCCGCGGCACCACCAACAGCAGCAGCCTGCGGAGGCTCGCCCCGTCGTGGTCACCCCGCCCCCCCCTGACACCCGCCCCGGACGGGACCGGTAGGGGCCTCAGGGTAGGGCATTGGAGTTCCACTTCTTGCCCATGGCCGATGCGTTGCATCTGGCGCTGGTGGTAGTAGTATCCTGGGCCAAAAGGATGGCGACAGGGCATGCGGTGGTGGTTTCGGGACTCCTTCGGATTTACGCATGGACCAAGTCAGCCATGCGCTTGCACGCCTGGCACTAGCAAAATTCAGCCTAGCTAGTTGCTCACCATGCTGCCTGCCCTGGGCTCTAGCCACTTCATGAGGTTCAAACAGGGAAACATCACCGACCCACTCCCATCGTCTTTGCGGGCATCGGTGCAAAAGCTTGCACCTGGAAAAAGCAAAGGATGTGATGGGAGGTGCGAAGAGAATCAGGAAATCTTTGTGAATAACTGATCTCCTGCAAAAATCCGCCGACCCCGGCCGACGCAAGGGGGAGCGCGCCAGGGAATAATGATAGATCCGCCAGAACTCAATCGTTTGGAGCAGAACTCAATGGGTTAAAGCCGTGGCGAAGGGGTGGTTTCAGATGCTTTTGGGAGGCTGGAAAGCTTTTGGCAGGCTGTTGGTGGAAGCTTTTTGGGAGGCTGGTTAGTGGTGGAAGATGCTAGCAAATTGTTTTTTTTTTCTAGGGTTCCAGGGCGTCCGTTTGACACGGAACGTCCGAGGAATTGGGGCTCGTTTGGAGCAGAACTCAATGGGTTAAAGCCGTGGCGAAGGGGTGGTTTCAGATGCTTTTTGGGAGGCTGGTTAGTGGTGGAAAATGCTAGCAAACCCTATAGGGATCCAGAGCGTCCGTTTGACACCGACCGTCCGAGGAACTCGTTTGGAGCAGAACTCAATGGGTTAAAGCCGTGGCGAAGGGGTG